ATATGTGTGTGTGTGTGTGTGTGTGTGTGTGTGTGTGTGTATATCTTCTTTTTTTTTAAGCCTTCACTATTATAACTAACGAGACCATATACTAATCTGCAGCCTTCTCCAATATTTTCCTGAGGACAAATTCCTAGAAGTGTAATTGTTGAGTAACAAAGCACACATTTTTAGGTTTTGACACTTGTCACACTGACTTCCAGGAAGGCATTATCAATTACATTACCACCAAAAGTTACTATCAAGGCCCTCTTCTCCATTAACTCTGCTCATATTGGATAATTCTTTTTCATTTCTGTCAATCTAATAGATAAAATATACTAATCTCATTGCACTTTTGATTTGCTTTTCCTGATTACTTCCATGTTAAACATTTTTCTTTTCTTTTTAGGCATTTGTGTTCCTTCTTTTATAAATTGTTCTTTTCCATTACCTGTTTTCCTATGTAGAGTTTTTTCCTTATTGATTGAAGTCACTTTCTACATGTTAAAGTTGTTAACCCTTTGTCACATATTTTTCAAGAATATCCCTGTTTTTTCTTTTGTCTCAATTTTCATGGCATTCTGAAGTTTCACGTTTCTTTATATTCAAATCTTTATGGTTTCAGACTTTAGTACAATGCCTAAAAAGTCACGCTGCATCTCAAGATTACATAATATTCACATATAGGTCTTTCAAGTATTTTTGTGGTTTCATTATTTAAAAACAAGTATTTTAAAACAAGTTTTGCAGGATGGAAAGAGTTCTGTAGACTGGTTTACAACAGTGTGAATTACTTGGCACTACTGAACTGTACAAATAAAATAGTTAAGATAGTAAATCTTATGTATATTTTGCCACAATTTTAAAAAATATTCATACACATTTGCAGAAACTTAAAATAAAAAAAGCTAGATGGTACAGACAAGGAACAACATAATCTAAGAACTGGTCAAGCAGATTTGGAAAATGAAACAAGAAAACTTCTCATAATGAAAACTAAACTGATTGAAACTTAAAACTTAATTTAAAAAAAAAGAATAAACAGATCCAACACACTCAAGGAGAAAAATCATGAAATGGGAGATAGAAGAAAAAACAATTTTCTCACAGTGTAGCCTAGTGATTGAAAGAGCTGGGATATTTGAGAGAAGGGATTTGAGCTATGAAGAATAGAGTGAGAAAGGCTTCACACATGTTTGTGTGAAGTCTTACAAGGAAATAATAGAGAATATGAGAAAGAGACACCATCAGAATATCCTCCAGAATTCTTGAAAGACAACACACTTCAGATTACCTGGGATCATCAAATCCCAAGTTGAATAAATAAAAGCAGATCCATGCCTAAACCTATCATAATGAAGTTGAAGAACAACAAAGATAAAGAAAAGATCTTAAAAGCAGCCAGCAGGAAAAGACAGCTGTGACCACTCCCTTCCCAGTAGCAACACTGGAATGCAGTCCATTGAAATATCCTCTTCCAGGTCTCTTCCCTGACAGTGGCTTGAGTGATCCTGCTACAACATCAGACCATGTCACTCCCTTGCTTAAAACCATCCAACGACTCTCCTGCTCACTTCTGAAAATATTCAAGGTCTTTATGTGACTTAAGTTTTTATGTTTAAATCTCTTATCCTCCTGGAAAGTCTCCTGATGTAAAAATTTCCCCTCTAACAGTTAACTGGCATTTCAATGTCATTACCTCAGTAAGCTATGCTTCTGTTTATCTGAAATACTGCTAAATTGTTTAAGAGAGATGAATTCAGTTTTAGATTTTGTTGCATTTGTGCCTGTGAGACACAGTGGTGAAAATACTTGGGATAATTTTAAAGAGCTCAGAATGTGTCCTGTAGGAGAGAGCTGGGTTAGATTAGGTCAGGGAACCATCTAAGACCTTGTGAGGATCTGAGATCACCTAGAGAGGATGTGGAGTGAGAAGAGGATGAGGAAGGACCCCACAGCACTTCCCAGCGCACCCTTGGATGGTGGCCCTGTGGTGTCTCCATCCCCGGACAGAGCCTTCTCGTGGGCAGGAACCATGCCTTGCTCTTCTCTGTGTCCTCCCAGCAGTTAACATAACATCTTGCACATGGCTGGGATATTTAATAAATGTTTCAGGAATAAACAGCAACACCATGGTGAGCAGAGGAGATTAGAGGTGACTGAGTGAGGAAGGAAGACAAATAATAATAATACCCTCTGACACTTCAAAAGACTTCTCAGATGGCAGTGCATCCTTTCAGCAGTTAGGCACTGAGCACCTGGCACTGGGCCAGGTGGTGAGGCAAGAGTGGGGACAGAGACACACATGGACCCCACACTAAGCAACAAATACCTCTATTATGTGCTGGGAGCTATGAAGAAAATGATCAGGGTGTGGTGAACCAGAGTAATGGAGGAGTCAAGCATGGATTGAGAAAAGGCTGGAGGAAGGGTTCCAGCCCAAGGCTCTGCTGCAGAGGAGCGCTTGAACAGAAAGGCAGCCAGTGTGGCCGGGACATGTGAACAAGGCGAACCTGGACAGGCATGATGGCCTCAGGCAGGAGGCAGGATTTTATTCAAAGTGCGATGAAAAGCCATGGAAAGGTTTCAAGCAGTAGTGACAGGATCAGATGTATATGAAGAGGAATATAGGTTTGTACACATATGACTAAAACATCATGCTGTACACCAGAAATTGACACAACATTGTAAACTGACTGTACTTCAATTTAAAAAATGGTCTTAGAAAACACTATTGCAAAATTTAGGAAAAAAATAAAATGAAATCCAGTTAAACTAATAGTATAACATGTTTTAAAATACAGTTTATTGGTCACTAAAATATAAATATTGCCTATGAATCTAATATAAAAAATAGTTATTACCAAAAAGAATTGTATTTTAAGCTTATATATGTGAACTAGAACATAAAAAGTGCATATACATATGTGAAAAATATAAACATTTTCCAAAAAATAGAGATTATAAAGACCAACCCCATTTTTATCACTCCCACCCTGTATTGTGCATGTGTATATCCCCTGCCACTTGTTAAAGACACACAAAAATAATGCACACATAAAAAACCCCAAAAAACCAACAATCAAACAAAAAAGGCCTGGAAAGATAGATGTTTCTTGTTCAAGGTCACAGAGGTAAAAATTGATGGAACTGGACCCTGACTGCAAAGCCTCAAGCTGTCCCTGGGGGTCTCCCTGCTGGGGCCATGGTCAGGGGCAGGGAGTCAGAGGCCAGAATTCAGAGCACTGAGAAGAGGGACTCTGGCTCTCCTGAGGTTCAGTCTCATCCTGCTGCCGGTTAGAATCCTTTAGGAGGCTTTTAAAAACCCATTTACCCAGGCACACCCCAGACCAATTAAGTTGGACACTCAGGGGTTGGGGCCCAGGCATTAGTATTTTGCTTTTTAATTTTTTCTTGATGTGTAGTATACTTACATTAAAGTGCATAAATCTTAAGGTTTTAACTCAATGTATTTTCGTGTGTGTGTATGTGTGTGAATGAATCTGTTAATTATCATCCAGGTCAAGAGAGAGAACATGACTAATACCCAGAAGTACTTCTTTCTTGTCAATGTCCGCCACCCCCAGTCCTGGGTACACACTATTCTGACTCATGTCCCCACAGCATGTATTACTTTGTGTCTGGCTGCCTGCCCCTCTCCATCATTAGGTCTGTGAGAATCCATGTCACAGGCATCAGTAATTCATTCCTTTTTGTTGGTAGTGGTATTCCATTGTCTAGATATATCACAATTTGTTTATCCATTTACCAATTGATAGACATCTAAGTTTTCCCCAGTGTTTATAAATAAAGCTGCTAAGAATATTCTTATACATGTTTTCTGGTGAACATATGTATGGGCAGCAGCAGTTTTAAAGCCACCAACATTGAGAACCACCGACTTTGAGAAAGCTATAAAATCCTGAGGGCTGCTGCTAAAGATGGAAGTCAGGGTCTGGGTCCCCAGGGCCCCCCTGGAGTCTCTCCAGTTGTAAATGAATAAACTATGGCTCGTAAAGATTTTCTAATTGCAGTTCCTTTCCTTCTGAGGTTCCAGAGCCTTCTTTGGTCACAGAAAGAACAGAGGGGACCTGGGAAGCAGCACCCCTGTGGCCAGCACGGTGGCCTCTATTTCTGGGAGGCTCTCGGAACAAGGTGGAGGGCAGGTACAGTGAGGCACTGGCTGTGACAACAGTAAACCAGACACCCTCAACAGACACTATCTAGAATAGATTCCTAATCCTCTAGCACATCACCTCCTACTCTTGAAGAAACCTCAAAAGAGCCATCTGTGCTGCGAATTTTCATTTATGGTTCCCACAGCATATATGAGTTTGCGATCTGTAGATAGATGGCTCCTGATACATTCCTGGACACACCCCACACACACACACACCTCCCCCCACACACACACACGTCACTCACATCTGTTGCCTTGGGGCTGAAGGCGTGATTTCTCCTCTAAATGGAGCATGATCCTCCCCTCCACACGGGCAAACCACACCAGGGACAACTCCCTCTGTGGCTGCCACTTCTGTGCCTGTCACTGTTTGGGGCAGTGCCTCTGACCTCATCTGCCTGGAGCTGCTGTGATTATTTTCCTGAATTATTTGATAATGACGAGTGCTGAGGCAAAAACAGCAGACAGAGTTCAGGGAACACCACATGTTCACAGCCTGTTGGATCTGTTGCCTCCATTGGTGGTACACGTTGCTGTCAAGGTCTGGTTTATCCATTGTCACCTGTATACCTCTAAGCCTTTCTCAGACTCACTTGTTTTCTTTTTAACTGTCTCCTTAGACAGCTTTGAGTAACTGTTTTACAGCTGGAAAAACTGAGGCATGGGAAGGGATGTCAGCTCCACAAGGGCAGGGATTTCTGCATGTGATGCTCATGGCTGGAGCCCCAGCAGCCTGGGACAGTGCCTGGCATACAGGAGGGGCTCAGTAAAGACTTCTTAAGGAAATGAATAAAACTTGTGGTGCATTTTGGTTTCGAAACGCCTACCTCAATTTTTTGTATCGTCTTCCTACAGTCCACCAGGACAAGCAAGGCAGCCACACCGGCCGGGAGAGTTTCCTCTCCATCCCCCACGATAGCCTCTTAACCTCTGCAGTTGAGAGCAGAGATTCAGGAGCTCCATGGCCCGTTTCAACCCTCAGCTCTGCCACTTTGTAACTGTGGGGCTTTGGGCTGATCTCAGCCTCTCTGTGCCTTGGTTTCCTCATCTCTTTGCTGGAAATAACAACATTCCCAACCTTGTGGAGTTGTGGGGAGGAGTAAAAGAGTTTGTATAAATGATGCATTTGGGGCTGTGCCTTACACGAAGCAGGTGCTCAAGAAATGTTACTTACTAGTATTACTTTAAATGTAAGAAAATGTTTTAGATGGACATCTGGGTTATTAGATTTGGCTATCATGAATAAAGCTGCTATGAACATAGGTGTACAAGTGTTTATATGGACATATGCTTTCATTCTCTTGGGTAGATACTCAGAAGTGGGATTGCTAGGTTGTATAGGAGGTGAGTGTTAAAATTTATTTGGAAATCCGATAAACAAGGTCCTACTGTATAGCACAAGGAACCATATTCAATATCTTGTAGTAACTTATGGTGAAAAAGAATATGAAAACGAATATATGTATGTTCATGTATGACTGAAGCATTATGCTGTACACCAGAAATTGACACGTTGTAAACTGACTACACTTCAATAAAAATATATATATGCAAAAAACTTATTTGAAATTGTCAAACTGTTTTCCAGAGTGACATCACCATTTTACATTCTCATCAGCAGTATGAGTTCCCGTTACTCTGTGTCCTTGCTAGCATTTACAATTGTCAAAAATTTTTTTAATCATTTTTTTACCCATTCTAACAGGTATGTAGTGGTATCTCATAGTTTTAATTTGCATTTCCCTGATCACCAATACTGTTAAGCATCTTATCTTGTGCTTATTGGCCATTCATAGATTGTTTTTTCTTTTGCTCCCCAGCTTTACTGAGGTATGACTGACAAAACATCGTATCTATTTCAGGTGTGTGACCTGATGTTTCCATATCTTCTTTTCTGAAAGGTCTTTTCAAAACTTTTGCCCGCTTAAAACATTTTTTTTAATTGTGGCAAAATATACACACCATAAAATTTACCATCTCGATGATTTTAAAATGTACAATTCACTCTTTTGCCTATTTAAAAAATTGGATCATTTTTCTTCTTAATATTGTGTTGTAAGAGTTACTTATATAATCTGGATAACAGTCCTTCTCTCAGATAAATATTATGAACATTTTCTCCTAGTCTGTGGCTTCCCTTTTTATTTTCTTAACAGTGTCTTTGGAAGACCAGAAATTTTCAATTAATTAATTTATTATTAGTCTAATTTTAAATGACCCACACTTTCTATGTCCTAGCTAAGAAATCTTTGCCTATACCAAGGTCACAATGATATCCTCCTATGTTTTCTTTTAAAAGTTTTTACTTTTATATTTACATCTATGATCGACTTTAAGTTAAATTTTGTAAGTGGTAGAAGATAAATACTGAGATTCTTTTTGTAAAAAATAGATACCTAGTTCTTCCAGCATCGTTTGTTGAAAAGACTATTCTTTCTGCATTGAATTACCTTGATGCCTTTGCTGAAAATTAACAGACCATAAATCTGTGGATCTACTTTGGACTCTATTTTCTCTTCCATTATCTGTAGTTTTATCCTTATACCAATATCACACTTTCTTGAAACTGCTGCTTTACAGATAGGCTTGAAATCAGGTAGTGTAGGTCTTCCAACTTTGTTCTTCCTTTAAAAAAACTGTTTTGGTCTGCTCATTAAAAAATATTTTTTTGATCAGTGTCATGAAAGACAAGGAAAGAGTTACAGATGGAAGGAGACCAAGGAGAAATGACAACTAAACGCAATGTGGGATCCGGATCAGATCCTGGAAGCAAAAAAGGAAATTAGTGAAAAATTTATGATATTAAAGTATCTGTACTTTAACTAAAAATACTGTACCAATGTTAACTTCTTATTCTCAATTATATAGATATTAACATTAAGGGAAGCAAGGTGAAGCATATTAGAAAACTGTTTTTACTATTCTTGCAACTTTTCTCTGCCTAAAATTAGTTCAAAATAAAACATTTTTTAAATTGTACAAATATTGATTGTAACAAACGTACCACTCTGGTGCTGGATTTGATAGTGGGGGAGACTGAGGGTAGAGGGGTGGGCGATACAGGAGAACTCTCTCCATGGTCAATTTTACTGCCAACCTAAAACTGCTCTAAAAACAAGGTCTACTTAAAAATGAAGAAAAAAAAAGGCTCAAATGTAGAAGAATGAGATAAATTGACTTTTTTGCAGATATTTTCCCTCAATTTTTTATTGTGCTAAAATACACATAACATAAAATTTACTACCTTAACCAACTTTAAGTGTACAGTTCAATGGTATTAAGTACATTCATTTCTTTTATCTACCAATCTCCAAGATAATAAGTTGCTTTCCTATCAAGATGACCAATTAATTTTTAATAGCATTATGAACCTACAGATTGAAATATACTTGATTGACATGAATCCATTGCAACTCTTATCATTATTAAAGCTCACATGGTCCACTGAGACTTCTGATGTCATCCATGTCATCCTATCGGTCTTTGAGAGCCTCCTGCTAGCTGGTATGTCAAGGTGGTCCAGCCTCATCTTGACCTTTGTTGCCTTCTTGCTCCAGACTTGAAACCAGGCGTTTCTCCAAGAAGCCCAGGTTTCTTTTCATAGGAAATGATATTTCAAGACCACAATTCATGCTCTACTGTTGCTCATTGCTGCTGGATTGATCATTGTGTCTAGCCTTTTTGGCGGACAGAACAGGGAAATGTATATGATTCCCTGTGAGCTCATCTGATATGAGAAAGAAAAGGGCTGTTGGAGCCTGGAGGCAATCAGCTCATCATGGGCACATCTACTTTTCTCTGGCCATTTTGCCTTCGTTTCTATCGTCGCTGATCTACAGCTCAATTTTATTCCACAACCAGCAGTTTCTCCCAAGTGGGGTCCTGAGCCCTCAGGGCAGAGAGCCTTGGAGGGGCTCCTCCAGGAGTTTTCAGGAGCTAGACTACTTGGCCACTTTAAGCCCCTTGCTCTTAGCCACACTCCAGTGTCTTCTGAAATTGGCACCCATCTTTACCATGATGAATGTCTGTCGCTTATTTGGGGCTCTCCTACTTCCAGGTCACCAGATGCTGCTGCCCCTATTGCTTCCTTCTGCTCCTTCCCCGACAGAGATATGTCTCATGGCTGTCGCTGGTTTGCCTCATCCACTTGTATCTTAGGCTTCATGGAGGTTCGTAGTTTGTGTTGTGAACAATGTCTGTGGATTTTGGTGATAACTAGGGTTGCTCCCTCAGCTGGTGGCTGGGCTAGGCTGGAAGGTCTAGAAGGCCTCACTTGGCATTCGCCCACGTGGCCTCTCTTTCCCCAAGTGGTGGCTCAGCATTCAGTCCTCCAAGCTTCCCAGAGAGCAGGGGAGAATTGGCTAGGTCTCCGAAAGGTCACTTCCATCCCATTTGCCTGGGCAAGTCACAAAGCCCTTCCAGATTCAAGGGAAGGGAGACAGACCCCACCCCCTGATGGGAGGAGCCTCAGGTGACAGCAGGGAGGATGGGTGTGGCCACCTTTGGAGAGTCTATCTCAGGCTTGTTTGAACCAGAGCCCAGGCTGCTACCCTTAGGAGACTTCCCGGGGGCCCACCGAAGCCTGCACCAGCCCCTAAGGGGTTGGGTGGGGAGGGAGAGATGGGTGGCCTCCAGTACCAGAAAGGAATTCCAGTGTTCAGCTTCCCAGAACTCCGCCCATATGGAGTTTCCACCTGGGGTTCTGGGGCACTTGGGACAGGTTGGGGGCCCTCCTCCCTCAGGGCCAGCAGGGTGGAAAGGAAAGAAATTAGCTTTCATCTTTCCTCCCCGCCCCTGTCACTTGCAGGCCCTCCGAGGGCTGGCAGGACATATGGCCCTGCTGGTGGTGAATCAAGCCGGGAGCCCTGCCAGGGAGGACCAGATGGAGCAGGAGGAAGGTACAAATCAGCCCCCATGGCCGACGCCAGAAATAACGCTCCTGGGCGGTGTGGCGGCTCTGTGGGCCCATTGCACCGGCCTTCCAGTATCCAGGCTGTGCTCCCTCCTTTGCCATAGCCGCCTGGCATCATAGCTCCTTGCAGTCTGCACAGCCAGGAGAGCTGAAGGGGAAGGCAGTTAATTGGACGTGCACAAGGGCCATTCAGAAAGTCACGATTCTGTTCGGACCTTGCTGCTCCCCTCCGCGTGAGGCTGAGCGCCCTGGCTGACTGTGGGGACAGGCCAGCCTGGAGCCCTGACATTCTGATGGACGAAAGGCAGGGCATTTTCCTCTCTGATGCCTCAGCTTTTTTTCTGCAGCGGCTGCCTGGGAGGCTGATGCCATCTGGCAGTTCCACTACCTCAGCAATAGAGGTGGATTTTAGCAAATTAGAGAGCCGTCCCAGCTGTCTTTTGTGCCTTCAAGGTGAAGATTTGACTTTCTGCCTTGGGGCAAATTCCACAGGCTGTGCTTTTCATCCTTAACAAGCAGAAACAGGGAGTTCCACCTGCCAGAACTCCCCAGATAACTTTGCCGCAGGCTGACAGCAAGCCCCGGGTCAGGAGAATCAGAGGGCGCAAAGATGAGCTACGGTGGGTGCAGAGCCCCCTGAGCTATGGGGGCACAGAGGCCTCTCTGTTTCTGTCATCACATGTTCCCCCATACTCGGTGCCACAGGCTTGTTCCGAACTGGGAAACATCTTAGAGCTCTGATCTCACAGTGTCTCCCAGGTGCCATCTGGGAGTCACCTGGGGACCTTCCAAATGAAAACCACAATGAGATACCACCTCATACTCATCAGGATGGCTATTATTAAAAAAACAAAAACAAAAACAAAAAACAGAAAACAAGGGTTGGTGTGGGTGTGGAGAAATGTGAACCCTGGTGTACTGTTGGTGGTGACAGAAAATGGTGCAGCTACAATGGAAAATAGTATGGAGTTTCCTCAGAATATTCAACATAGAATTACCCTATGATCTAACAATCCCCATTATGGGTATATCCCCCAGAGAATTGAAAGCAGGGTTTCAAAGAGACATGTGTACACCCACGTTCATTGCTGCACTGTTCACAATAGCCAAGTGGTGGAAGCAAACCACATTCCATCAATGGTGAATGACTAAATAAAAAGTGATGCATACTTAAAAAGTGATGGAATATTATGTAGACTTAAAAAGAAGGAAATTCTGTCACATGTGACAACATAGATGAATCTCAAGAACATGATGCTAAGCAAAATAAGCCAGTCACAAAGGACAAATACTATGTGATTCCACTCATAGGAAGTACCTAAAGCAGTCAAATTATAGAAACAGAAACTAGAATGGTGGTTGCTGAGAGCTGGGGAAGGGGAGAGAGGGAATTATGGTTTAATGAGTGTTGAGTTTCAGTTTTGCAAGATGGAAAAGGTCTAGAGATCTATTGCACAACAATGTAAATATACTTAACACTACTGAATTGTACACTTAAAAATAGTTAAGATAGTAAATTTAATGCTATGTCTGTGCTTTTTTACCACTTTTTTTTAAAGGGAGCTCATTTCCATTCGGAAATGCAAACATTTAATATAAATAGATAAACAACGAGGATGGAGGGATGGAGAAGGCACAGAGGCACACTTGGCCCCTTGGAGTCCAGTGGGTCTGGTGGGTCTGAGGCTCAATCCATGGGTCTGTGACTGTCTTCTCTGGGGCCAGGTGCCAGCCAGTCTTGGTGGTGGGGCTTGGGGGTCTTGAGATGCTGGGATGTGTTGTAATTTGAATGAAGGCAGCATCTTTGCGGGGATGGGGCAGGGATTCCGCTTGTTTCTGCAGTCACCACTCTGTCTTTTCCTCCTCATTTGAATTCCGTGCCTGTGGGCAGGGGCAGGATGTGCTCAGAGGTAGGTCTGGGGTACTCAGCTCCTTCCTTGACCTGTTCCATTGCAGGTGGGGTGAAGGGAACGGAGTTGGGTAAGAGGGACAAATGGGGCTCAGTGCTGTCCTGCTCAGCTGCCCTGCCCTCAGAGCTGCTGCAGTTTCAGCTGTCTGGCTGGGACAGGAACCCAGAGGCAGAGAGGAGTGAGGGAAGGGTGAGGGACTCACCTTTCTGCAGGAAGTTCACACTCTCCTTCCCAGGACAGATCCCACATTCCCAGAAGAAAAATCCTTCCCTTCAGGTGGTGGATGTGTCTACACGGGAACAGAGACATCTCCCTCACTGTTTGAGAAATGCCCACTCTGTCCTCACATTATTGATAGTCCTTCTGATGACACAGCAAAGTGACCACTGTTTACTCCATTTTTCAGATGGGAAAGTTGAGCCCAGGGGTTCACTCTCACACAGACAGCAAATAGCAGAGCCAGGGTGAGGGCTCAGGACTGCCCAGGCCCAAGGGTTTGCAGGAGTCTCCCAGCCAGGCCAGGGGGCCTCAGAGAGGTAAGAGAAGGGACTTCATAGTAAACAGATTCAGTGTGATCCCTATTAAGATCCCAACAGCTGTTTTTACAGAAATGGAAAAACTCATCATAAAATTCATTTGGCATTTCAAGTGACTCCAAATAAACAAAACAATCTTGAAAAAGAAGAACAAAGTTGAAGATCTCACATGTCTTAATCTCAACATATTCTATGAAACAACAGTAATCAAGATGGTGTGGTACAGGCATAAAGACAGATATATAGACAAATGGATCAGAATAGAGAGCCCAGAAATGAACACTTGTGTATATGGCTGAGTGATTTCCGACAAGGGTACCAAGACTACACAATGGGGAAAGGACAATCTCTTTAACAAATGGCGCTGGAAAACCTGGATATCCACACACAAAAGAATGAAGTTGGACCTCCACCTAACACCATGTACAAAAATCAACTCCACATACATCGAAGACCTAAACAACCAAGTATAATTTCCCTGATTAAATTTTGTCAAGAAGTTTTGATGTATTGATGATTTCTCTAGAACATTCGTTGACCTTGCTTACAAAGATTACACCCTCTCAAACTCTTGAAGCCCCAGTCATTTTTCATAGCACTCTTACCCCCTGACATTATTTTATTTTTATTTGTCTATCTGCTTATCATCTATCTATCTGCTTATCATCTGTCTTCCCACCGGGATGTGAGTTCCAAGAGGGCAGCAATTTTGACAGCCTTATTCATGGCTGTATTCCCAGAACCTAGGACAGTACATGGGACACAGTAGGCCCTCAACAGATGAAACGAAGGAAAAAATGAAGTATGGCTTAAATAGAACACTGCTGGTCTGTATTTGTCTCCTAGTTAGTCCATGAGTAAAATCATGAGGAGCTGTATTAGATGGAGAGAGAAATGATGCAGAACTGAGAAAGGGTCCAAGGCCCAAATGATGTGGCCAAGCTATCCAACTCCATGCTGTGGATGAACAAGTTTCAAGGAGCTCCCAATATTGCCAGTGAAACCAACAGAGATAACCAACAGAGCAGCCTCCGCTTCACCATTTGATTTACTGATGCTCTGAAGTGCTGACTTATGGCTTAGGGGCAGCAGGGCACATGGACAGCACGACCAGAGATGGTGCTGATGGTACCACCCAGACCATCAGGGCAAAGGAGAGATGAGGGGGTGGAGCTCTGACAACACTGGAGCCTGCACCTTGTGATGATGGAGGCTGTCACCAAGGAGCCTGCCAGGGTCTCTGGCCTCTCTTCCTCTGTTCTGCCCAACTGAACACTACTGAGTAACAACCACAGCCAAGAACTGGGCCCCACAATGGGTGATCTCAGTTTTAGGCCTCCATTCTGGTTATGCATTGCTGCAAAATTTGACTGGGGAAATTATACCTGGTTGAAATATGAAGAAGAACCACACTGGGAACTAAGCAAGATATTGGTCTTGGGGCACTTGCAATAGGGTTGAAGATACAGCAAGACCATAGGAACGGTGGTTATTGTTACTCCCCTCTTGTATTTATTTTTATCTTTAAAATGTGTAATTTAATTTTTTGAATAGATGATACATTAAAATGGTTCAAACATCAAAAAGGAAGATGAGGGTTCGCAGAACAGCGAATCCCTGACCTGTATCCAGCCACCCAATTCTCCTCCCAGGAAGTGGCTACTCTTTCCAGGTCCCTGTGTCCTGCCAGAAACACTCTCTGTATTTACAGGCAAACCTAGAGATATATTCTTCCATCATTACTTTTAAAATATATACACATGGTAGTGACTATACTCACAGCTTTGCACCTTGCTTTTTCCTCTTAAAGTAGATACTTGGGGATTGTTTCATATCAGAACATTAAGAGCTGCCTCATTCTTTTTTGGGGGGGGGTAATTAGATTTATTTATCTTTTTTTTAAAGGAGGTGCTGGGATTGAACCCCCCCACCTCATGCATGCTAAGCACATGCTCTGCCACTAAGCCATACCCACCCCTGTCTTACTCTTTTTAATAAGCAGCATAATATTCCACTGCATGGCTGTGCCACGATGTGTCTAATAAACCCATTGTAGGGGAACACAGGTGATTTTCAGTGTTCAGCTCTGACACACTATGCTGTGATCCTTCCCCACTGTGTTGGTGAGGAAACCCAGGTGGGAGAAGCAAAGTGTCGCACCCCAGGCCATGTGGTGAGTTGTTGGCAGAACCAGGACCAAATGGCAGTCCCCCAGCCCTACACCCCATGTGTATTCCCATCTCATCTGGGCTTGGGCTTCCTGGTTCTGCAATGGGGGAAGCTGGCACAGGTCGCCA